GTTTTGTTCTGCTGTGCATAAGTTCGCTGTGAGTCAGCACCGACTCGATGGCACCTAACACCAACCAGTCCTTGTAGCACAGTGGTTACAGATCAGGCTGCTAACATCAAGGTCAGCAGTTCGAAACTACCAGCTGTGCTGCTCCCATGAAGATTTACAGTCTCAGAAACCCTGTACAAGGTCGCTATGAGTTGGATCCGACTCCACGGCACATAACCTCTATCATCACCGATGAGTCCTTGGAGTCCTGCTGTGGCGCAATGGGTTAATATGCTGGACTGCAAGGCTGGTTTGAACTGCAAGGTCGGCTGTTCAGGCTTACCAGCTGCTCCTTGGAACTCTTATACAGGGTAGCTCTGAGTCAGAACTGACTTGATGGCACTTAACAAGGAGTCCTTAACAACAGCAACAGTGAGTTTGAGCTGCTCTGGACACCCCAACAGGGTCACTATTAGTAGGCAATGACTCGGCAGCACATAACAAAGAGTTTGTTGGAGTCCTGGTGTGGCGTTGTAGAATAAACACTGGACTGCTAACCACAAGGTCGATAGTTCAAACCCACCAACCACTCTTAGAAACCTTACACAGGGTCATCATGAGCCAGAACCAACTCCACGATACTTAACAGCAATAAAACAATGTGTTTGTTCAAAGAGCTCTGATAGCACAGTGCTTAAGTGCTTGGCTGCTAGCCAAAAGGTCAATGGTTCAAGCCCATCAACTACAGTCCAAAAAAAATGCGAGACCCGTCTACTTCCGTAAAGATTACAGCTTTGGAACCGTATTCAGTAGTGGTACTTTACCCTGTGAAGTCACTGTAAGACCGAATTTACTCATCACTGCTGAGTTTGATTTAGGCTTGATCATGAGTTTGGTAGTGATCTTTTATACTTAACATCATGTTAAGTCGGTTCTGACTCAGAGCTACCCTGTATAGGGTTTCCAAGGAGTGGCTAGTGAGTTTGAACTGCGGATCTTGTGGTCCAGTGCTTATCCTGTAGTGCCACAGCAGGACGTAACATCATGTTGTTGTTGTTGTTGAGTGCCGTTGAGTCAATTCCGACCCATAGTGACCCTCTATAGGGTTTCCAAGGAGCAGCTGGTGAACTTGAACCGCTGACTTTGCAGTTCAAACGACTTTGCAGTCTGACGCATTAGCCCACAGCGCCACACCAGGACTCCATCATGTTGTTGTTGTTTAAGTGGCGTCGAGTCGGTTCCGACCCCATCATAGTAGTGCTAAATAATTGATTTGTCTTACTTTGTGTGGCTATCAGTCTATTACATGCTTTCAGAATGGCTCATCTACTCTCGGTACATTGTCGTCATTACATTCCCTAGACTTGGTTCCAACTCATAGCGATCCTGTGGAGGGTTTTTGATGAGTTTTTGCTGGCTTTGAGCCACCGACCTGGCAGTTAGAAGTCCTGTGCTTATCCTACAGCACCACATTACAACAATGAGAAAATAGTGTCTACCAAAGTTGATTTCCATTTCTTTCACTTAGATTGACACTGTGTGTTTTCCAGCAGAACTTCCTCTGCTCTGATGGTTCTCCTACTGCCATTTTCCAAACCCAGAGGTCTCTGGCGAATTTCTTAAAGTAATGGTGGACCCTTTCGGCTCTAATTGGTAACGGTAGAATTCTTGAAAGGTCTCTGTTTCCACCATGTTTTTGTTCTGTTTTTAGGGGAAGCTATTCCAATCTATGCAGAAATAGAGAATTGTTCCTCACGTCTGATTGTTCCCAAAGCTGCCATTTTCCAAACCCAGACATATCTGGGGAGTGGAAAGACAAAGAGCGTCCGTCACATGGTTGCTAACGTTCGAGGGAACCACATTGCTTCCGGGAGCACGGACAGGTGGAATGGGAAGGCTCTGAAGATCCCGCCGGTTACCCCGTCCATCCTGGACTGTTGCATTATCCGAGTGGACTATTCCTTAGCGGTAAGCAAAATGCTCTCAGGAATTAGGAGGGCGTAGACGTGAGTGCCGACTAATGCCAAGTTACTGTGAACGTCAGCAGTGTCTCCCTAAACCATGTCAGTGTATACCAGTATCACACCCAATTAGGGGACATGTGGAGATGGGCCGTCCATTAAAGGGATTTAATTCAATAGTATAAAGATGTTGAGGAGCCTTAATGGATGCTGGAGCCCTGGTGTGGTGCTGTAGAATAAGCACTTGACTGCAAGGTCAGTTAGGACCTCAAGGTTGGAGGTTCAAAGCCACCAGTCACCCCTCAGAAACCGTACACAGCATTGCTATAGGTCGGAACTGACTCAACAGTGGATGCTGGTTGCATTGGAAGCATGGCCCTGACTTCCTGGAGGCACAGTGGCTATGCTTTTGGCAGTTGGCTTCACAGGAGAAAAGATCTGCTTCCCTCAAGATCACCGCCTAGGAACCTGGGCTTTGTTCCCATAGGCGGTTTCACACTGAGTGGAGGGGGTGGCGCATGCCAGCTGACAGTCAGTTTCCTGGCACCAGGCTTTCCCTGAGGTTTGCCTGCTCGTCCTTTTGTGCTGTGCGCACAATTCCCAATGACACTGGGGGGTGACAGGTGACTTAGGGAACTGTTGGGCCTGGCCCGTCTACGGTGACGTTGGATTCCAATGTCTGTCTTTTGTCCTCGCTCCGCCGCCACCTTAGGTGTACATTCACATTCCGGGTGCTAAAACCTTGATGCTGGAGCTGCCCATCGTCATTGGCACCGTTCCATACAGCGGCTTTGGCAGCAGAAACTCCAGTGTCGTCAGTCACTTCAGTGTGGACATGAGCTGGTTAGCGCTGACCCTACCCGAGCAACCTGAAGGTAAGATGTGTGGGACTGATAGCATGCCTGCCTGACCAGTTACTTCATAGGCACAGGCCAATGCTGATTGCTAGAGTCCCTGGGGAGGGGTGTGTGTGGGGGTGGGGGACACAGTTAAGTGGTAGACCACTAATTGAAAGGTTAGCGGTTCAGACCCACTGGAGGTGCCCCAGGTCAAAGCCCCAGCAATCTCAGTTCAAAGCCTTGAAAACGTGGAGCACAGCTGGACCCTGGTTCACATACATGGGCCACCTTGAGCACAACACCTTGACTCCTTAAGAAGGCATTCAGTAAGAGTTCAAATGTTAATTACAGTTGTTAACTATTGTTACTTAAAAGTACTCATCATCATAAAACACCATCGCTCAAAGGATCTTAGAGTTTTCTCCAGTACATAGAGCTGTCCCTGGCAGCTCCAGAAACAAAATATACACATCTCCATCTCCAGAGTCACAGTGATGTAAATTTATCAGAATAAAAGTAGAGACTGCTATGCATTCTGTGTAGCTACATTTTAATGGCATTAATTTACATAGACCCTAACACACACACACACACACACACATCTCAAAAGAATATAGTCAGTAATAGTTTTGCTTTGTAAAACCACAACCTGTGTGGGGTTGCATGACTTTAAATCAACTTGATAGCAATTAACAACAACAATATTAAATATGTGTTGTTGGCATGGGCACCAAAACCTGCTGATTAGAGGGAAAAAATATTCTTTTATCTTTATATTTAACTTAGTTTCTTTTTTTTAGAAGAGTTCAGAAACATTTATGTAATCTTTTTTTTTTTTTTTTTTAATAATACTCTGTTTTTATTGAAAGTTTATACCATGAATTAGGGTCCCATTTAACAATTACGATGTAAACTGTTCAGAAAGAGTGGTTATAGTTTTCACAATATGTAAACATCTCATTATTCTGTTGTGGGATTTACTTCTAGTAACCTGGTTTTCCTGTCTCCTTAACCCTTTCATCTTCACTCTAAAGTCATTGTTGATCATTTGATCTAGTATAGAGATGATTTTTTTAAAGATGCATGGTACTCACTAGTAATATTCTTTATCTTATGAGCCAAAGTACTCCTATTTAGCTCCAAGATGCCATGAGGGGTCGTCTCAGTTGAAGGTTGTGGGGTATTTCAGGACACCAGTTTCTGGGAAGTCCTTGAGTCCCTGGAAGGTCCAGTAAGTTTAGAGTTTTTAAAACTGATTCCATCCTTTGTGTCCCTCCTCTGTCAGAATGCATGGACTGTGTCCCCGAGCAGAGCTGCTCAGACACCATGCAGTTCAGTTGAAGAAACAGCCATGTGTGGACCGTCAGCCCTGTAGACTAACTGCGTCTGCTCTGACCCTTTGCTTTTCTTTGTTCTCTTTTGCTCCAGACAAGACTATATAGATAGTTGTATCTTGTTGTGAAGACACGTCTAGTTAGTTCCAACTCATAGTGACCCTGTGTAGGATTTCCTAGGAGCCACTGGTGAGTTTGAACCACTGACCCTGTGGTTCAAACCTACTTTGCAGCCTAGTTCTTTATCCCATGGTGCCACACCAGGACTCCAGTTGTGTCTTAAATGGTTATAACTAGTCAATGTTTTGCATAGACTTCTTAAGATTCAACTGCATTTCTGTCTCAGCTCCACCAAATTATGCAGACGTGGTATCAGAAGAAGAATTCTCCAGCCACATTCCTCCTTACCCTCAGCCCCCGAGTTGTGAGGGAGAAGCCTGCTGCTCCGTGTTCACCTGCATACAGGAATTCCGCTTCCAGCCTCCGCCTCTTTATTCAGAGGTAAACAAAGCCAAAGAACAGTGTACTGGGAGCGTGCTGTTTGTACGGAACCATTTGCTGCCCTTCATTCCCTGAAGCTGCTGTTGCTGACTCATAATTAGAAGGGATGCATGCAGATATTTTACAGTGATGAGAAATTACCACCGACCCATGTGGCGCGTTCCACGGTGTGGACCTTGGCATGCACCCTGCCGCGCGGGTTGATCGCCTTTAAGGTGTTTTATATGACTGTGGATGGTAGAGAGCTTAAGTGGCCTTCTGGAACTTCTTAGTAACCAGCTCTCAGCAACTAGGTGGGCTCGTAAACACCATAAAATTAGAAATAGGAACTAGAAGTGTTGGAAGGAATGCACCAATCATTTATTTTTCTTTGCAGGTTGACCCACATCCTAGTGATACAGAAGAAGCCCGCCCTGTTGCTTTCATTCTGTGAACATCAGAGATCATTGTGTTCTTTTCTCCTGTTTCTCCGGAGGAGAGAATATTAGCCTAATGAATTCCAAGACTGTCGGCTACAGAAGTGAACGAGTATGAGCTTGCTGTGGGCAAACAGACTCGCCACATGTTTGTGTGATGGTTGTAACGTCCCTGTGAAATAACGGGTGTGAAGTCACAATTGCAGTGGAAGTCTTCATGGTGATGGAGTAGGTGACAGGGAGAGCGTGTCCGAGCTGACCCACACGGATGGGATCTGTGGGCATGGTGGAAACACTGTGCAGAGAAACCTTCCCGAAAGTTTCTCAGAGCGGAACAAAGCGTCCAAAACTGCCACCGCATGGACTCGCTGGAAGAGGACTTGATTGCAGAGGGCAGATGTGCATGAGTTAGGAGCATGGCTTGCTAGAAATGGGAAATGCACCCAGCTTCAAGGTCTTCATGATTTCTCGGCAGCTCCAGCGAACTGAATCCCTGGCAAGCGTCCTTTCTCAAGTCCATGGTCAGCCAAGGTCTCAGTGGAGTCATAGTTTCCACTCTTTTGATGGCATCTTAAGATGTAGTACAGCCATTGGTTGCACAGTATTATACAAGAACGGGCTCCTTGAAAGGGTTCACTGGGGAAAGATGGGGGTGGATGGGAATAGGAACACCTGTTTTGTTAAGGGCTTTCCTCTTTAACCCCTTTGAGCACTTAAACAGATGCCTTCTTGGAACCCTACCTACCTAGAAGCACTTACAGAGTGAAGGAAGGAAAGGTTGCATCTTCAAGATGACTTGATACTTGGAGTCCAAACAAGCCTTTTCTTAGTCTACCTCCATCGGGGTGCTGAGCTCTGCTTTTGAAACTGCAGGCCTGGTGAAGCCTCCTTTAGTGGTTCTGTACCTTACAGTAACCGTCGAATGTAAACGCATCTTTAAATCAGAAAGTGGACCAAGGGAGAAACCTGTTCAGTTAGCATTATTCAAGAGAGGCAAATCTATGTGCACTAAGGGTATTTCAGAAACAAATGCAGAGTCAAAAGTGGGTGACTCACCACTTAGAAATCGATTTCTGTCAGGAGACCCGAGTGAACCAACAGTCGCTTCACTATGTGCCTGGTTCTCATTCTCTAGTAATTCCACTTAAACTGTGATTGTCTTTTGTTTTTTGCTTTGTTTTGGTGCAATATTTTACTATATGATTTCTCTCAGGATGTTCAGACCAAGTGAATGTTTTGCTGCTAAAAATCTAAGCAGTGTTTTTACTGTGTCCCTCCCCTTTGGTTTATGGTCACATTGTCCCCTACTTTCATGTGCTGGTTTTGTGAGCTGAGAGCTTGCTTGGACACTTAGTGAAAGTGGGCAGGGGGGCCCACGACACTCTGGGTCAGACAAGGGCTTTGGTTTGTCCCTGGTGTTTCCCCTGCAAAGGACTAGATGCTTCTTTCCACAGAACGATGAATTTGTCTTTCAATCAGTGTATTCGGTACAAGGTAGAGAAATTCTTCTATGTTAATTTTTTTATAATTTAAAGATTACTTAGTTATCTAATCAGGGATTTTTATGTAAACAGAGGTAAATAGATACTTTTCACTTTTCCAGACAAGCCTTCCTTTACAATCCTGTAAACATTGTAAGCACTTCATTTAGGCCACCATGGAAAACTCAAAATGTACAACTATTAGAACAGGGATTCTGACACTGGAATTGTCACAAACCTTTATTCCGTGCTCTGGTGGTCAGTGAGACTTCTTTTTTTCTTTTTTTTTAATTGTTTCTTTCCTTTGTGTGCTTTTTATTTATGTTTTCAAACAATTAGGCATATTTTAGTGCTGTGTAAACAAATTTTAGTTTTACTTTCAAAAGCAATGACTTCAGCTATTTATTTTTTCTGTGCTCCTCTTAGTTGTAGGCTGCAGGCGTCTCGGAGACACTGTCCATTGCCAATGTAGCAAAGCCAAGTGAGACCCCACAGTGCAGGTCCTCTGCCATCAGGTCGGTTCCTACCCCGGGCACTCCGTAGGACACGGTTTCCAAAGCTGGGATTTCCATGGAGGGAGAGTTACATCTTCCTCCTGCGGAGCCGCTGGTGGGTGCAAATCACCCAGCTTTCCGTTAGCCGCAGAGTTCTTTAACTGCTGCACCTCTAAGCTCCTAAAACAAGGTGGAAGAACCCGAATATACAGTGTGGAGGGAGAGACCATCTAAGGATTAATGCAGAGAAGCAACTTCTTAACGAACTCCTCGTCTGGGATTGTTTCGTCATCTATTTGAGGGCAGCATGAATGCCCCACAAACGGAGTGAGGAGGAAGCACTTAGGGGAACAGCTAAGAAAGTGGCTTTCCTGACTGAACAGATGCTCGGATAGCTCACCTTTGCTGAAGATTGGAACGACGTTAAATGCTCTTTAATTAGGAAATGATTTTATGAATGAAGACAGTTGGAACAAACGGTGTATGAGATTGCTCTGTTCCTCTACCTGCTTGGCAAAGAAACTGTGGCCTTAGTGTTTTTCTTTTTGCTACAAACATTTTGAAATTGAAAATGTGCATCTTTTGGCACAGAAATCCTTCCATGGGAAAAACTACTTCTTGTG